CTAAGGCTACAGCAAGAGGCATTTAAATACATGTGTATTAAAAAAATGTGTATTGTCCCCAGAACAAGAGAGCTGATCCCACCTACCATACTTTTGTCTCAATCACATCCTTTCCCCATCTAGCATACTGCCAATAACCCTGCACCCAGAGGGCACCAGTATCCCTCTGAGACAATCCTCTTTTCCCTCTATCTGACCTAGGGCTGTGAAGCAAGCAGCTGCAGCTCAGCTTTGTGACAGGGCTTATCCTGCAGTTCAGCAACTTGTGCAAGGATTGTGTTTAACACTTTCTGTGGCACAAGCAAAACTTAAAAAGATCCAGTTTATTTCCCAGACAAAGAGTGTGGCAAGCACTGTTATGGGCGTGTGTTCATGCAGGGAAGGGGGAATCTGGAGTAGGAGACAATTAAGGACACAGCAGAAGAGAAAAAGGCAAATATTGATTATATTGTAAAGTGACCATGTTATCCAAAACTTGATAACCTCTTGGAAATATGACCTTTCAAATTAAAAGATTAAATGGTCATAAATGACATTCAAGTTATTTTACTCTGAGTTTGTTTTATCTCATGAATGCTTATGTTCAATAACCACAGTTATGAAATACTATTTTTCATCTTGTCTTTCTATTAAACAAAACTGTTAGCACTTCACAACAGGAACTACTAAGGGAGATTTGCTAGACTAATAGCAGGCCATATACTATTTTCATTCCAAGCTTACTCTCTGTTCTTCCAGAAGTGTTCCTCCTTGGCAATGAAGATTAAGGAAAGCAATATTGTTGCAACAATTATATTGAAGAGGTTTTTCCAAAATATAGTAGAGTATGGTGTCTGCAGGAACCACTGTATATTTCTTATATTGGACAAACATTAATTAGTGGCTGCGTAGCAATTTTCAACAGAATGCAATAATAGATTTATTCTCAAAAACATTGATTTAATTTTTCTTTTACTTTGAAAAGTATACTTTGCTTGTCACTGAAAACATGTGGTTGCTGGATTACTTAAAACTGTGCAACTCAGGGAAACAATTTTGGCTCTAGTTTCCCCAAAGCTGTGTCAAAAATAATTTCAGTTTCTATCCTGCCTCTGCAGGTTTCCAGCCCTCTTCTCCCTGATCATCATGATCAGTACATTATGATGTACTGATGACCCAGTACATCATTCTCAATTTTTCTTGTATTCAAAGAGTTTTGGTTTTTTGTATATAAAGAGTTTTGTAATTTACTTCAGCCAATTCAGTATAGTAGCTTCCCAGTAAATGTAATCTTTCAGGTTTTGCAAGTCTCATTCAATATACTGCAACAATATAGATTTTATTTCTTCTTGTATGTCGCTCATAACATTATTCCCCCCTACAAAGCTCAATAAACTCATTTATTTGGGATCTATTCTCAGAGGTAAAATCCCTATATATTTACCTCTATTAGTACTCAGCCCTACAGGAATTGAACTATTTTGTTTTATATGAACAAATAAATTTTCTTTTGTTTGTTTTCATTGTTAACACTGCTTTTTCTCTATGACTCAATAGTACTGTTTTTAACAGCCAACAAATTTCTAACATCTGCAGTGAGCAACACGCATCAGTGTAAGAACATCCTGCAAATTTGCTAGCCAGGAGTCTTGTGTCTTGCTTCACTTCCTCCCACCTACGGTATTTTAGGAGTTGCAAATTTTGTTAACAACAGAGGCAGAGACAGAACTGAAAACAATTTCAAAGATATTGTTCCAAATTATTTTCCAATGAACTGATACCCACTGTTAAGCTAGCACTTAAAGGTGTATTAAAAGTAAAAAAAGAGAAGAAAGAATAAAGGAATACAGTAACCAGCAATAGTGATGTTAAATATCAAGCTCAAACTTTCTCAAATTACAGGCTTCCAAATATTTTTCCCCCTTTATCGACCAGGAATATTTTTTCAAAAACATTAAGACTTAAATAGAAATTTGGGAAGGGACGCATGAACATAGAAGTAATCCCTTACCAAGCACATGTCAGCCCACAGCTCTTTTAAACCATTTTAAAAGAAGGATTTATTGTGCATGACTTTTATTTTTTTTAATGATACTATGATTCTTGTAGTGGCAAACCACTCTTAAGCATTAAAGAAATCTTAAAAAAAACCCAAAACTTCAATATGTTTAAAAAGGGATGTAAATACATGATGAAAGCAACACTGTACTAATTTCAGATTACTGAACATTTGAAACAACTCTAGGAATTAGTTCTCTCTCTGCAGTCGTTTCTTTAAAACAGTTTTTAAAAATCCCTAAAGAATATAAAGAACTTTCTGTCATCAGAATAAGTTTGATTAATTTAATCAGTATCATGAAAGCTGTTAAGATATTAAAATTATTTTAAGATACCAAAGCCCTAGGGTATTCAGGTTCATTTAAAGTGCATTGGTAATAAAGCAGTTTAACATCATTGCACACTATATTCCCAAATCCTGACATAAAACCCTGCACAACAGATTGCATGCAGACAAAAAGCATATCCATTTCCTTTTATAAAGGCCTCAAGCAATAATTCAAGCACAGAGATAAAGATTAGAGACTATGGCAGCCAAGCACAATTGCTATGTTTGTTTTTGATTAGGCTGTCTTCTTCCTCCTTATCTGCACGGCTTATATGGCAAAGATCAGTTTTTAAAGACCACCACTCCACTTTAAAGTTAGACAAAAACAAAATCAAAGAACCACACGAGCTCCTGCTAAAAAAATAACTACGCTGGCAGTTTCTAGTCTCACTAAAGCCAAAGTTTGGTTTACACTCCAAGCTTTCAAAGCTGTAACACTCCAGAGCTGCCAGAGAGTTTACTGAAATGGCTACCAAAATTGACACTTGTCTGCTGCAGGTCACTGGAATCCCATATGGATCACAAATACTTTTACTCTGTTTCTGAAAGCTTCATAACACTCAAGATAAAAATGAAGTTGCAAGGGAAATGACAGATCTTACACTAGTGACATTAAAAATCAGAGCAACAATTATGTGATGATATGACACAAGAAATTCCTGTAGTAGCACATGTTTTTTCTTCACGTAAACTGTGAGGCAGCTTAATTTTTTTAATTCTTTAGGTTCCTTAAGACAAAATTATTTGTCATTTACCAGAAGCCATGTAGGTGATTTCAAAGAGGTGAATACAAAGAGAGGTATCGCTACAACTTCTTGGAGCTTCTTCTAGGGAAAGGGGTAGGAGAGAAGTGAGAAAAGCAAGTACTCCAGTAGTACTTTTCTGTCCCTATCATATTTTCTGAAAAAATCCCATTTCCCAGGATTTCTGTCCTGGGAAGCTGAGAAGCCTCAGAGAAGAAGGAAAACAATAATTATCTGATTTGTTTCTCCTGTGTTTTGCTGCTTTGGAATGTGTTTGGACACTGTTTATCCAACAGGTGGTTGTTTCATTGGTTTCATGTGAATTGTTTTGACTTAATCACCAATTAAGTCAATCCGGTCAATCTGTGCCAGGACTCTGGAAGGAGTCACGAGTTTTCAGTGGTATCTTTCTAGCCCTCTGTCTGTGTCCTTTCTGTATTCTTTAGTATAGTTTAGTATAGTGCTCTTAATATAATACAGTATCTTAAAATAATAAATTAGCCTTCTAAGAACATCGAGTCAGATTCATCATTCCTCTCTTTGTCTGGGAACCCCACAAATACAAGACTTTTCAAACACGTACTGCAGAAGAGTCAGCTCTATCCACTGAGGAACCATTTTTCATCCCCAAGTGATAACAACTCTGAACAATTCACAGAATTTAGAGACAGAAATGCTGTTTACTATCTCAAGTAAACGCCATTTCAACTTCTTCAAGCCCAAATTTGATGTACTTGATTCTAATATCAATCAACATCACTTGAACAGATAAAACAACTTCCTCATGAGGGGAAGAGAAGAGGCAGGCACTGACCTCTCATCTCTGGTGAGCAGCAACAGGACCTGAGGGAATGGCCTGAAGCCAAAATAGGGGAGGTTTATGTTGGGTATCAGGAAAAGGTTTTTCATCCAGGAGACATCAGGCACTGGAACAGGCTCCTCAGAGAAGTGATCACAGCACCAATCTTGACACAGTTCAACATGTGTTTGGACGATGCTCTCAGGCACATGGTGTGACTCCTGGAGATGGTGCTGTGCCGGGCCAGGAGTTGGACTTTATGATCCTTGTGGGTCCTATCCAACTCAGCATGTTCTGTTATTCTGTGAAATTTCTATCTTCCAGTAAATTTACTGAAATCTATTGTCCCTCTCACTAAGTACAACAAATTCCTCTAACTATTACCCATTATGCACTTTAGAAACACATTTGATTCAAATTCCATTAATTTAATTTTTTTAAAATACATGAAGTCCCTATTTGTTTCTATTTAATTTGCTCCACAATCAAAACAAATCACTCTTCAGTGACCATCACTGCCACAGAGGTACCAGTCACCACCACAATACCAGCACCTTGGATCTAGAAGATGCTACCAGGGCAGGGAGGGCCTAAGCCCTGCTCACCATCCTGCTACCTCTTCATGGCTCCACAGAGGAGAAGCTGCTGTCCACAGCTCGTGGCTAGCTGGTAATGCTGTTCCTCCCCTATGAGTATTCCAGCACATAAATTATACCAAGTTGCATTTTCTTTAATGAAATCAAGTCTAAAGGCACCATCCATGCACTTCAGCTCCCAGAGGAAACAAGATGTAGGTGATCCCATGGGTGGATGCATGAGACTCAGCGAGATAAATGCCACAGACATGCAAATCTCAAGATAGGAGTGATTTTCAGGCTATGCTCGGCCACCTGTCAACAGCCCCTAGAGGCAGAACCTCAAACATGACTCATCTCACTAACAGTCAGCGAAGCCACGTGGAAGAGACTTATGGAAACTCCAGGTGGAGCTCACACCCCACCAAAGAGCTCAGCCACACGGCAAACACCAAGCGCCAAGGTGCCATCAGCTCCTTGAGCTAACCCAGGTGACACTACACATACCCCAAACTCACCAGTCAGAGCTCCTCCAAGGCTTCCTCTCCTGAGCTGTCTCCCATCTTCACTCAATTGCCTCTTAAATTTAGGAGACTTTCCAAGGCCAGAAGACACTTCGGGACTGCTGGATTTTCGGAAAGGCATAGGTGGAGGTGACAATATGTGATCAAGCTGCAAAGAAACAGAAAAAAAATACATACCTATACTGTTTAAATATTTATCATCATTGAAAGAAAAATGTAAGTTACCTTCAACTAAAGATTATGACACCATTTAGGGAAAAAAGATCCCAAAGATCTTAAGGTAACTAATTTGCTAACAGAAAATAACTATTTTTCAGGTGCCAGATTTGTGTATGGCTATGTAAGAAAGCCATCCTCCTTTTGAACAGTTAACTCCACCTCCAACCACACTCACACAAAGAGCATTGTGCACAGAGGACCCTTCTCAAGACAAAAGAGATCATACTTCAACTTACTCAACCTTCCATAAATCAGCATTTCTGCAGTTGTGAACCACCTGATCTGGAAACCTACTCCAGACACCGACTGGTTCTTCAAACGTTTTTCTTTGATAGGTTTTCCCCACTTCCATGTCAGCAGTCACTAGATGGCACTGCACAACCAACAAACTGTAAACCACTGCCCAGTCCAGGGACACAATAACAAACAGATTTATCAACGCCAGTGAAAAAAAAAAAAATTAAATTATCCTGTTTATATAAGGCACATTCATTTACACTGACTTTGAAGTTAAACGGAAATACAGATCCTCATTCTTCAGACTCGGTTCCTGTCATCATAGCCACAATACATTTTAGCAGCCTGGTCTTGACAATATGTCTAATGTCTCACTATTTTATTAAATCCCCTAAAACAACACAAAATGCATGTGAGCAAATACCAAGAAAGTACAAAAAAACAGGGCATGCAAACAGAAAAAGTTTTACAACCATCCTTCTGTAAGTGCTGCAGTGGCATGGTGTCATCATTTTGAAAAACCACACTGGTTTTGTTTCTGTAACATTTAAACTTTAATTCTCACTACAATTTTTTAGGAAGCCAAGCATGTCTAAGTGTTATATTTTTACAGTTCGGGTACTGAGACTTATCAGCCAGAAAATCTGTGCATCACCTGCATACTTGACTCTTTCATCCTTTTTGTCCACTGAAAGGAATGAGTCAAGGTCACAAGAAACACTGACAAAGCTGCACAGCAAAGCCCATTTTTGCTTACAGTTAGTCCCACAGCAATGCACTGTCTTCCCTACAAAGCATTTTGAATCCCTTATTTAGTTCCCTACGTACTTCATATTTCAGGTTAGTTATTGTTTTGGGGTTTGTTTTAAAGGTTTCTTTAATCAAATCTGCAGCTCATTGGAAGTGTACATACACTCCTCAAGAAATGCAACTGATTTCTTAATCTGCTTCTTCTGTATATTAAGACTCATTAATGTTCACAACAGACACTGAAGTATTTGATTAACTAACAGCACATGTCTTTAGCCATTTCCTAAGTGGTTTTGAGGTCATAAAGAATATTTACTTGATCATAGTTACTATTCAACTTCCACAAACACAGGCACATCTTAAATATTTGTATTTACACCTTCTAAGATACCTCACAAGATTAATTTAAAAATTAAATACTAATTACTCTTTTAAGAAGGAAGCAACTGACAACAGCTAACTTCTAAAAAAAACCAGCACTTTGAGAGTCTTTCCTGTAAGTCTAAAAGCAAATACTCAATCTGCTTACTGACTGATGGATCCCAGAGATTGTTTCATTCTAGACTTCAAATTAGTCCAAGCATCTGAAAATGACATGATCCCATCAAGGCTTTAGGTGAGTTACCAGCAAAAATTCATGCTCTTTCTTGAAACAGGTTCACACTTCAAAGTAACTAACCATATTTTAAATCTCTTTTTTCCTGAACTAAGGTTCATCAAGCTTTTAAACCACAGGAGGAAAAAAAAATCAACTCATGCCCTAAGCTCCCTACACATTAGCACTTAAGCCAACATAACAGAATTTTGCATATTCCATTCTCTCATCTTTTCCCCTTTTAACAAGATAGTCAAACTTTATGATTGTTCAAGTCACTCCCACAATGAACAGACTTGTGCATTCCACAACATGCAGTCTGATCTAAAGTCATTATTTCCAATTAAGCTGCGCTCCCTTTTCACAGCTTTCTGGGTTTCAGAAGAAACTTTAAGACAGTGCTATAGTAAAGACCCGCACAGAACCACCTAGATCTTCACATAATTAAGAGGCTATCCCAGCTTCAGGAAAGTATTATCTTTGAGAGCTAAGACAGTTTAAATAATAGCCCCCAGTAGCTCATAGTCTTAATAGCAATGCCCTGCCAGCATTCTCTCACAAAGATACCCTCTTCTTGCAGAGTGACTACTACACCAAAAGACATTTTTAAGGTGTAAGAACTACAAAGAAACAACATGGAAGTACAGGATTTAGTATTTTCATATTGACGGCAAACTCTTGCTTCACAGAAACAATTACACATATATCAACAAAGCACTTCTGGAAGCTATCCTAAGACTCACTCTTTTGCTTCCAAAGGCCCAAAATAATCTAAGAGCATGTAAAATGTGTATTTGACAAGAGTCTGTCAATTCTAACTGATAATGCAGTAAACCAACAAGAGTAGACAAGGATATATCCTTTAACAGCCTTGACATAACAGCTCTGGATGCCTGAGAAATGTGAGCGAAAATGGACTGCAGAAAGCATCCAGGCTTGCAAGCTACCTTCCTGTGCCAGCCTCTAGACAGAAACACGCACCAGAACTAGAGGGGTTTATAGCCCCCATTCAGACCTCATTTTAAGCAAAGCATTTATAATAGATGAGGCTTTCAGTCCTCAACAGAATCACCTTCCCTTCCTGACAGGCCAGCATTCAAGTAAATCCAAGCATCCAAGGAAATCAACAGAAAACATTAGATCCTACTTCCTTGGAACACAAAACTGGTTCTGAAGATGTACATGTTACATATTCAAATCCTACAAAGCAGTTGACTCAGTCAAAAAGATGCTACAATCATTCAGTAAGATTACACCAAATTCAAACAAATAACTATTAGCAAGACCTATTCCAACTTGTTAATACTTATTTGAAAGACCTCCTGGAAACCTCAACACCACGAAATTTCAGGCTGTGCATCTTATCAGATTATAAGATTAGACACTGCTGTCCACAGGACAACATTAAAGCAACTATCTAAGAAGACAGCTGAAATTCTACCAGAGAGATTTTAAATAATTTTAATTAAGATGCTTCTGCTCAGCACTCACTTTTGCTCATCCACAGCCATCACTGTATTGGTATTTACTTCACACTTACTAGCTATATGGTCGTGTGCTGGTGTTGCATGGCATGCAAACATAACAGGATAACCAAGGTTAGACTGGTTTCCCTTTTTTATCAGTCAGATTTGCAAGTTGTAGGTAATACAATAGCTATATCCTTGCAGGAAGCTTCCAACAGATACACATTCATGTTACATCTAGAGTATCTGGCTATCTCATGCTCTGCCCACTGTCTTATTAACTGCACTCAGGCTGCAGCCATACCGTTCTCTCAACACCCTTTGAAACCCTTTGAAAAGAAATGTTAGTGACCTCAGGAGCACTGGAATAACAGACAGCAGGTTTTTTAAGCTAAAAAGAGGGGAACAGTGAAAAATTAAAACTGTAAAAACAAATGTATTTGAGTTCCCTGTATTTAAAGTACAAGGGGGGTTAAGTTAGCCTTAGAGTTTATGCAGGCTGCTTAGAGAGGGATTTTTAATAAGTGCACATCTTGCCACCATCAGCACAGTCTCTGCTGTTAATATTCACAATGCATGGATAGTTAACCTATTTAAAAGCCTCCCTCCCCCAACATCAAATGCCTTCTTAATAAAGGCATTTTGAAGACAGAAAACACACAGCAAATACCAACCTATGACAAAAGTACCATTCCACAATATTTACATCTTTCCATACATTTGATTAAAAAATATGCCTGCTTATGTCATAGATATGATGAATTTCTACAAAAGCACTATAAAATGTAGGAGTTAACGGCTTTCACAAAACCCTACTTGTTCCCCTCACATCTGTGAACCTTAAAAAAGGAACAGAGTATTATTATAGGAGAATGGTTTAAAAACTACATAGAAGAGAATATAAAAATATCCTTACCATAGACTTCTACGCATAGATTTAGAGAACCTGTAGAAACAGGGATGGAATTTTGAGTGAAAGTCTCCTCCAGTCATACAGGAATCAATCTGTTCTCCAAAAATTTTTTTTCTGTATTTTCAAGCTATTAATTTTCTGTGTGAATAGAATCAGATACAGTCCTCTGAAGAAAATTATTCCCATACCGTACTATGGGCTTTTAACAGCTCACCTACTCAGAAAGGATTATACTAATATTTTTTAAAACCTCAGCAGCATTAAATCCACCTATCTACCATCATGTATTTATTCTAAAGCTAGAATGAATTCTCTGCTTTATAATTATATCATCAAATAGTCACATCAAGTACATCAGCCCACACGTCCTTATGAAAATTAAGGACGTGACAACTGATTCAAAATAAGACCTTGCATCAGTGTTCAGGAGCACAATTTGAGCCGAGTACATAATGAGGAGTGAGGCAGTCAGAAAGAAAATGCATTTCAGAAAATTATGGTACCAGGTAAATGAAGCTAAGAGAATGCAATCACACTGATAAAACAGGATAAGGAAAATAAGCTGTTCTGGGTTGCTGAAATGTGTTGCAACATGGAGTGTCTTTTTCCAATAAAAATTAAATGGAAATGAGAACTGAACTTGTCTGATCAGCTCCACTTTTTTTTTTTTTACACCCACTACAGTTTCACTGTCCAAACTACCTCACTCTCAGCCTCCCTCAATTGCTCACAGGCAGTATTTCTACTTCCCACAGAAACTGGAAAATACTGGTCAAGTATTCAGTCTTAAAAACATGAATAAAGATGTTCTATAATGCAATTCCATTTCTTCCTCCTGAATGCAGCACAACTTCTTCCTACCTCAGGTCATGCTCTTTATGCATATTCAGTCCTAAAGTTTCCATAGAAGGCCTGTGCACTGTCACCCATTTTATATCTCCCCCAGACAATCCAAAAAACGAGATGCA